CAGTGGGGTACCGCAGGGATCAGTACTCGGTCCGATGCTTTTTAACTTGTTTATTAATGAGTTTGAGTTGGGAGTAAGCAGTGAAGTGGCTACATTTGCGAATGACATGAAGTTGTTCAGGGTGGTGAGAACCACAGAGGATTGTGAGGCACTCCAAAGGGTTCTGTCGAGGATGGGCGAGTGGGCGCCAACGTGGCAAATGGAGTTCAGTGTGGCCAAGTGCTTTTCTGCGTTATTTTATTCGAAGGGGGCAATACAGACAGACAAAGCCAAATCTATTTTATTCGAAGGGGGCAATACAGACAGACAAAGCCAAATCCGTCCTTGTTTTTTTCCTGTAGCCATTGTGCTGTGCTGTTGCCCTGTAGATCTGTGTATTGAAAAGGTTTTTTGCCTGTGTGGTCTGTCTTAAACAGGATAATGTATGTAAGGACATACATGTGCAAAAGCACACTCTTGTCACCTGAATAGAACATGAACTATAGTAAGGAATTCCATTAGGGAGAGTGAGTGAATTTTTCCAGTGTGAAAGCCAGTATTTGAAGGCAACTGTCGTTTCATCTTTCAGTGAGATGTGAAGGCATGTAACTATGCACTGGACTGTAACCATAATACCTTTGGTATATAAATTGAAGTGGGAGAGGCACTGCACTTCTTGAGTGGTTCCTGACTTACGAATTAGTCATCAGACGACACACCTTTACATCTACCTTTACTTCTGTTTAACATTTTTTTTAATGGGGAGCATTTTAATTTCTTGACAAGACCCCTTCCTGTTTTTACGTCTGATGTTGACATTAGCTACTAGTTAGCGCTATGAGGAGTCCAAGTTACAGGCACAGTATTCGGTTGGTTTGTGTGATCGAGATGACAGTCAAAATAAAGATCAAAATTATAATCTCGTTCCAAAGGTTAAATTGTGTTCATGAAAAAACACACTGCCCTCACAAACTCAATACTGACTTCACAAGCAAGTTGATTTAGATTTCATGGGTTTTGTATTTGTGTTGGGGTTTATTTATTATTATTTTTTGCCATATTAGAATGTCTGGGAATTATTCTGCAAAGTCAGACATGCTGTGTGTTTTCCTCATAAGGGTACGGTTTAGTATTCAGTTCCTTGAACTGCTTTGTTTTGTCTGAAATAGGCTAATTTTTACCACCAGTGGAACCCGACTGGCATGTGTACACACATACAATAGCTGCTCTGACAGGGCTGTGAAGGCACACTGCCTCAGGACGGTATAATAAATATGAACCTCACTGTTTTGTTTTCAGTTCTGAGACAGGACTATTTCCTGCAAGTACAGGTGGAGGAGCCGTCGCCTGCAGCACCCCCCCCACACACACACACACTTGCTGGCAGGAATCCAGGCTCAGTTGTTCACAGCATGCAAATAAGCCATTTTGTAAATAGCCTTCATTGTTATTAATGTTTGGATAGCTCCTGATCAATTAATCAAGTGCTTTCTTTTCTTTTTTTTTTTACCTCCCTCTCTCTCTTTTGCAAAAACATGTTAATGTACTGCTTGGAGCAGAAGAAACTTGGCTTTAGCCTTCTTTCCTTTCCCTGGATTCAGGCCGTTGTTTCAGGTGGTGTTGAACAGATGTGGCCGTGCCCCAGTCAGCGACCTAGGATTTCTGTCTATGAGAGCCCTTTTGAGGCCTTTTTCGCAGATTTTAAAACTGTTTGTTACCCTCTGTGTGGCTGGGCCAGTGAGGGGGCTAGACGTTGACAAGGAGGGCAAGAGAAACCAACCATCTCATAGGAAGGTGGGCAGATCTTGTCTTTGTACACATGAGCATATGACACCACCCCTTCCATGATGACCCACTAGTGACATTGTCTTTACAGCCTAACGCAAAGCATACTAGACCCAAGTGACAGGTTCTAAGTCATGAGGTGGACACAAAAATCTCAGTCACTCATGGAGCTCAGTAGTCCAGGCTAGCCTCTGCAAGTTTTAACGAACTCTTGGTTCATTACTTGAATTCATCTTATAGAAATTGTGTCTTGCTCCTCTTAAACTGGATCCATGTGCAAAATGTTATTGCTTTTTTGTGATTTCCTGTGTTCAGCACAAGCAGTCTCAGTATGTGATGGAGCAAGCTTTTCAAATGCATTGCCTGTGCATTTTACTATTTTGTGTACAGTTGAGAGTGACAGATATTCAGCTAACAGTGCTGTACCTCTGGTGGAATTACATTGTATTAAAGGACTCTTCTGTTTATCTCTGTCTGGACAGCTGAAAAATCTAAGTTTGGAAGAGCTGCAGATGAGATTAAAAGCTTTGGATCCTATGATGGAACGAGAAATCGAAGAACTTCGTCAAAGATACACAGCTAAGAGGCAGCCAATTCTGGATGCTATGGATGCAAAGAAACGAAGACAGCAGAACTTCTGATCTCATCATTTCCAAAGTAAAGGTTATCGGTCGATAAGGACACTGGTAAAACTGTACATATATCTTGAGTTTTGAAATGCAGCAGCCTTGAGCTTCACAACAGCTAAAGCACTAGAAGAGAGCACATTGTATATTCTGCAGTCTGAATGGAAAACCTGTCCTATTGTTCATATTTTAATACAATAGAAGCTTCACATTCCACTCCAGATCCCTTTTCAGCTAAGATACAGAAATACTGGCTTTTGTACGAGGAGGAGGAGGAGGAGTATTTGGTTCCCAGTAATACTTAAAGCTATCTCCAAATTGCTCAATACTACAGGGCCTTAAGTTGCAATATATGTTTGTTCCCATTTAATACCCTATTTATTATATATGCCTAGGTGATCTTATTTATTTTTTATGCTCCTGCCTTTTAACTATAAATAGGGCCTGAAGATACTGGCAGTGGGTGGAATCAGCAATGGAGTAAGTAAACATGTTTGTGGATGGTCACGCTCTAATAAAAAATTGCTACATTATTAAGTTCTGACTCTGGTGAAGGATTTTGGGCTCTATTTGGCTTGTAAGCACAAGCTTGTTTCTCACTGAAGTATTAACTAGAGCTGTACTTTGTTGGGGACTTACTAATGCGTTAGCTACAATGCAAAAATACTTGCCTGCGGACAGAGGGCACAATGCACAATTTTGCTGAGCTTTCTTCAGCACTTTGCATTTATACTGTGGGCTGGCACAGGAGAAGTTCCTGTAGGGCTTTTGCATTGTTGCTTCCACTTCTGCCAAGCATTACCTTACAAGATAAGAGACAAGTGCCTCTACAGCTCTCTTGCTGCCCCTCCCCCCCATGTCAGGCAGGAAAAACAGTCCCCATGGTCCTTTTTGGTTCCCATTTTTTACTGTAGCTGCCTTCCATTTGTATTTAGTTTCAGCATCCCATTTGGCTCTGCAGTAAAAGTATTGTTTAACATTTCTCGGTCAGTTGACTTGATTTGCTGCTCTCCCCCCCCCCCAACTTGCTGATTGGTTTTGCCCCGTATTAGCTATTGTTATAAAGCCACTTTGAGAAACTCTAATTTAAAAGCCAAAGAAGATGTTTCTGTTCCATTGGCCACAAGCATCCACAGTATCTCCCCTCCTCCCTGGCAGATTCCTCATCAGCCACTCTTTCTGCCCAATGCCAAACTCTCTTGAGTTGAATGAATAATTTTACAGGTTTGTGCTGCTGAAAATGAAAACAGCTGGGGAAATAGCCCCATGTGAGTGTCTTAATTACCTTGTAGTGTTGTGATCCTTGATGGATGATATCCTGAAAATATGAAGCACATTAAATTACTCTTCAGGTCTAATCTGGCATACCTTCCAAAATACTTATAATATGGCTGCAGAAGAAATCTAAAAGGTATATGTGTGCCGGCAAAGTGGCCCCATCCTCAACAGTGTTCAGGTGATACTGGAAAATACAAGGTGCCTGTGATTATTCAACAGGCTGTCCTTTCCATAGTAACAGATCTGCTGCTCCCTCAGGTCTCATGGCTGTTGTTCAAGGCTCTCTTGCAAGCTGCTACCACAGGGGATTTTCTCTAGTCTATTGCCATACTTCTCCAGCATTTGGTAGGTGAAAAGTATTGTATTCCTGTCTGTGTGTCAAGCTGTGTATATTTGGTAGCGTGATCCATCTTCTGAAAAGTTTTCTGATAACATTCAAAGGTGACTGCCGAGCTGGCTTCTCTTGCCTCTTCTACTGACCACCCATTGATATAGCAGTTCCCAAAATGCTTGAGATCAGTGACAATGACTTGTAAACAGTAAGGATTTTAATGGGTAGATATTTTTGCATTGGATTCTTCTATATGTCATTAAACATTCCCTCCTTCTCAATACCTCCTGCAACTGTTTTATTCTGAGCACTCCATCTTGGGAAGCTATGCGGCATTTTCTGAAAAGCCTTAAACAATCAAGAGAAATTGTCGGCATCAAAGGACCATTCCTTTGTGTTTTGCCTGAATAGGAGCTTGCCAGTGTAGCTGTGTGCACACTAGATCTGTTACAGAACGGCAAGCTAAACATTGTCTGTTTTTTTTTAAATAACTTGCTAAAAGCTGTTACAGACCCTCGCATTGCTCTTCTGAAAGGGGTGGAGAAAGTAGTTTTTTCCCCCCTGATCCAGTACTGTTTATCCCAGGTATGCCACTATCTTTCTTCACACTAGAGTTGTAGTGATGTACTGTGAAACTGTAGTTGGTCATTAGTTTTAAATCAACCTTTTAAGATTTTGTGCTACATTAAGAACAGATATATTGTGAGTTATGACATGGCTTATGGAACCTTCCTAAAGATAAGTTTATAACGATCTACAGTGCAAAAAGAATCATGCAGATAGTATCGTTGGTGGTATGCCCCTCACATCCACCTCATTCTGTTGCACCACAAACAGAGGTGACCATCACAATATGCCACTACAGGCAGAGTTGTCCATTTACCTCTACAGCAAGAGAGCTCCTTGTTACACCTCCAAGCTTTGTGCAGAGGCTGTGCCAGAATTCGGAGCTGTGAGCCTTGGGGTGCCTGGGACTAGTTGTGGTCTTGCCTGAGAATGCCCTTCTCTGCACTAAAACATCCCTAGTTATCATTGCTACTTTAGTTCAGAAAGCACAGCCAGCACCCTGCGCTAGTGCGAGGGGACCAGGGATTACATGAACTCTGTCCCTCGCTATGCTGTGCAGAGCCTTAATCACACAATGACACTTTAATATCAAGAGTGGCTCCCTCAGTTCTTCAGAACAACACCAAAGTCTTAATAATAAGATTTTCAGACACACACACTATCTATAAGCCACACCATTTCCTGTGTAAAAACTAAACAAAACCAAAAAAAAAAAAATCTAGTGTGGACATCGACCTTGCTATTCCCTGGTGTGCCTTATGTACGATTGGCTTGGGTCAATCACATGTTCTCTGACTTCCTTTCTTGATGTAACTTTGTGACACATCACAAACCAGAAGGGGTCATAGCAAAGAGCCAGTGATCATCCTGAAACATTTATGTAGTATCTGGAAGCATCATCCTTGTTTAGATACTGAGTGTCACAAGGAACTTTTTATTCAAAAAAAAAGTTCAACTCCAATTGACTTTCTGACTTGGATTTTAAAAGTTTATTATGTACAGTAATACAGAGAAAAATTAACTACAGAAGTGGCACACAAAACTATAATGATGTGATAGTCATGATGACTACATACTATTTAAAACAATATATTTCCTACACTTTTCCCAGCTGATACACAATGAGACATTTTGGGAACCAAATGCAGTAATCCTAAACTACTACTCATGATGATTAAGTCAGACCACCAGTTGTATACTAGTGAAATTTAGGGACAAAACTTACAGGCAATTAGTCTTTTTATTATTCTTTGATATTTATTTTTATTTACTGAAGCGTATACTATTTGTGTCCATAACCACTTTTTATCTCCACTGAAAGATGTGCATCTTTTGTAAAGTATTTATTTTACTAAAAACTTGCAATAAAGCCAGTGGAGCTGATTATTACTTAACTATTGTGAAATTTTAATCCAACTTGATTTATGATTGTTTCCTGGCCTGTATATAAATGTTTTAAGTATAATTTGCAAAAACTCTGAAAATAATTGTTTGTTACCAAACATTTTGAATAAAAGTTATTTTCCATCTATATTTGTGGCTTGCCTCTTAATGAATACGCCAATTTTCGATTAGCTTGTTTGTGGAAGAAAAAGGTCTATTGAAATAAGATTTATTCCACAAACATGTCCTAGTTAGGATTGACTCAATAGCCTGCTCACCTTGTCTTTGTCTCCAAAGGTTGTTTGCTTTGAGATTAGGACTTGTGCTAGAGTATTGTCCAGTAGACTTCAGTGTAATACTTGTTTTACCTCCTGTTGTGCAGATTTCTGAGGGATAGTCATATTGGTAGTGGAAAGCGCCGGCAAGTTGCAGCCAACTTACGCCAACCCCATAGGGCTTTCAAGGCAAGACATGTTCAGGGGTAGTTTGCCATTTCCTGCCTCTACATAGTGAACCTGGAGTTCCTTGGGGATCTCCCATCCAAGTACTAACCAGGGCCTGTTTAGCTTCCGAGATCCAATGAGATTGAGCTAACCTGGGCCATCTAGGTCAGAGATATCCAGTATTAAGACATTTTGGACAAACTCCAATTTATTTATGATAGGGACAAAATATGTCTGGCTTGTTCTTGGGCTCACGCATTCTTCGTCTCTTTCCATTATAGACGTGCATGGAGTAGAGATTGAAGACTTCTTTGTTAAGAAGTCCTCAGTTTACCAAAATTTGTTGTGACATCTGAATTCACTCACTTAAACTGAGGCTTATTTCTTGGCCACAAACCAGAATTACAAACTTCTGTTTAATTCTGCTTTAAAACGCCAATTTGTGGGTGAGAAACAAATACTAATTTATTAAACTTGGAAGAAGGAAGCATACAAGCCTGAGAGTAAACCTGGTCTGTTCTCTTAGTTCAGGTGTCTGAAAATAACCCTTGGTTGCAGGAAAAATAAGGGTCTTTAAGCAGTTGAATACTAATAAATATGATATGAGATTTTACAGCCAGAGGATTCCTCATTTGTCAGACATATATCTTGGTGCCTGTACCTCTTATATAATGTAGTAAGTAAATGAAACGTATATGTAATGATTTCAAGTTATATGTGTGTGTTTCTTTAAATGGTAAGTGTCAGAAGAACAAGGGGGTGAAAGAGTGAGGTGAGTGAGTGAAGTGATTGGTTGGTGATTGAGAGTGTGTGGGCGGAGCCAGGTAGTGTGTATGTGTAGAGAGAGAAGGCAAAGTGTTCAGTCAGAAGTCAGCAGTTGCCAGTTGTGGTCAGTCTACACAGAGTCAAAGAAACAGTCTTCTAATTAGAATACAGAAGTGCTGTAAAAGGCATTAAAATTCTAAAGGAGGAAGAAATATACTTAAGGGGGCATATTAGGCAAAATCTAATATTGTCAGAGTATTTTAAGAGTATGACGGGGAAAGCTGACAGAGACCTGAGTAGAAAGGAAAAGATTTTACTGAGCAACTTAACAAAACATCTTGTAACTGATACGCTTCTTTTACCAATAAAGTTTTATCTTGTTTATTGTTAACCCAGAGTCTTATCCTCAGAATTACATAGTCCAATGAAGGAGCCTTAAAGCTTGGGCACAATACTGTGGGAAAGGTTAATTAAAGAATGGAATTAAATTCCTGGTGGCAGCCTTAGATACTTTGAGTGAGAGAAAGAAATAACAAGCTATTTAAAACTACATACACCTAACCACACAAACTAAGAGAGGTACTGTGACAGTATCCCACAACAACGCTAATGTGATTAACAAAAGTAAATATAATTATATGCTACTAAATCAGTGTGGTATGACCGATCATCTAACAAAGTTTGTTCTAGCCT